ACCGCCTTTCCTTCATTAGGCATCAATTTCACACTAGGATCCATGGGAGTATTAACGGGTGAACAATCACTATAATTAAATCTTTTGAGAATATTCTCAACATAGTGAGCTTGTGTCAAAGCAATCCCTTTGTTTACCCGTTTAGTCCTTATACCAAGGATCACACCCGCCTCCCCCATGTCCTTCATGGAAAACCTTGATGATAACAACCTTTTGGTTTCATCAACCTGATTTTGGTCCGTCTCAAAAATCAGCATGTCATCAACATAGAGACATATGATCACACCCGCCCCGAAGGCATCAAACCGGCTATAAATACACTTGTCCGATTGGTTTAAACTAAAACCATTGGACAAAATAACTTCATCAAATTTTTGATGCCATTGTTTGGGTGCTTGTTTCAGTCCATACAATGATTTAACAAGTTTACAAACCTTATGCTCATTTCCCGGCATAACAAAACCTTCCGGTTGTTTCATGTAAACTTCCTCATCAAGATCACCATTTAAAAATGCCGTCTTGACATCCATCTGATGTATAATCAGATTGTGTATAGCCGCCAAAGCAATTAACAACCTAATGGTTGTAATTCGAGCAACCGGCGCATACGTGTCAAAATAGTCAATTCCGGATTTTTGTCTAAAACCTTGAATGACCAACCTAGCCTTGAACCTGTCAACAGTTCCATCAACTTTCATCTTCTTTTTGAAGATCCATTTGCAACCTAAGGGTTTAGAACTCGGTGGCAAATCCGACAACACCCAAGTGTTGTTCTCCATAATTGATGACATTTCGTCATCAATTGCCTCCTTCCAAAAGGCAACATCTCGGGATTCCATTGCCTCTTTAAAGGTCTTTGGATCATCCTCAACTTGGTAACAATATGAATATTGTACCCCCGCTTCATCCCTTGAACCTTCCACTAAATACAAGTGAAAATCGGGACCAAAGTCTTCCACGATACGGCCTCTTTTGCTTTTCCTAATTTGTGGTGCTTCGGGATTCAAAACACCATCCAAACATTCTGGAACTCGGACATCACTAGTTCTTGGAACTAGGTCCTTTGGTCTTTGAATTGATGAAAATCTCATCTCATCAAAGATCACATCCCGAGACTCAATCACAGTGTTAACCGCTACCGCATCGTTCGGTTCTATTACATAAAACCTATAAGCCTTGGAATTTTCCGCATACCCTATGAATATGCAATCAAAGTTTTCCTTTTGCCCTCAGGCAATTTTACAACCGCCCTACAACCCCAAACCCGAAAACATTTCAAATTCGGCGCGTTTTTGTACCAAAGCTCATATGGGGTTGTCTTGTTCCGTTTGTTTGGAACCCTATTTAGAACATAGCAGGCTGTGAGCATGGCCTCTCCCCAAAACCCTTCACTCAAACCCGAGAAGGAAAGCATGGAATTAACCATTTCCTTTAACACTCGATTTTTCCGTTCAGCCACACCATTTTGTTGTGGTGTATACGGAGCCGTGGTCTCATGAATGATACCAGCAGATTGAAAATAATGGGGATCCATATATTCTCCTCCCCGATCAGTCCGAAGACATTTAATTGGATTACCCAATTGCAATTCAACCTCGGTTTTATACACTTTAAATTTCTCTAAAGCTTCATCCTTAGTGTGCAATAAATACACATAACAAAACCGAGTTGAATCATCAATAAAAGTAACAACATACTTTTTATTGCCAAGGGAAGGAATTGAGTGAAAGTCACATAGATCACTATGTACAAGATCCAAAACAGCCGAGTTCCTTTCAACACTAGGAAACGGTTGTTTTGTGATCTTAGTAAGCATGCAAGTCCTACACTTATCATCATTAATATCAAAAGAAGGAATTAAACCATCTTTAGACATTTCATACATTTTTCTAAAATTAACGTGACCTAGTCTAGCATGCCAAATCATACAATCATTCATGGAAGATGCCACAAAAACAGAATTATCACTAGAAATTAATTTATTCACAACATTTAAACGAAACATGCGATTTGATAAATATCCAAAACCAACAAACACACCACACTTGGACAGAATATATTTATCGGATTCAATCACTTGTTTGAACCCTAAATTGTTCAACATACTACCCGAAACAAGATTCTTTCGAACCTTCGGTACATACAAAACATCAAACAACGTAATTGTCTTTCCAGAAGTAAATTCTAAAACAACTACACCCTTTCCCAAGATAGGCGCCATTGACTCGTCTCCCATGCGTAAGAAGGAACCTACCTCGACTGGTTCTAGGTCTTCAAACCATCCTTTATCCTTACACACATGGCTTGTAGCCCCCGAGTCAATCCACCATGCACAGTCATCATCATGTACATAAAAAGATTCTGGAATGAGTGATACATAATTCTGGACAGAATTATCAAAGTTAGTCAGGAACTGACTTTCTTTCCGTGGAACCAGGTCCTTAGACCGTTCCTGTCCACTGCCACTCGTTCCAACGCCATTCTTGTTCAGTTTCACACGGCAATCACGCTTCACATGTCCAACCTTTTGACACCTCCAACAAACCAAACCTTTCGGTTTCTTGTTGGGTTTGTCATGGTCTTCATACTTGCGCTTTTTGCCTTTCCCCTTATCTTTCGGGTTAGATTTATTATCTTCAACCAAGTGAACATGAGCCAGTCTAGATTCAACTTCACTCATAATTTGGTCATTCTCTTGCACACGAAGGGATTTCTCAATGCGCAAGTGACTCCCAAGTTGAACCAATGACAATTCCTCATCTTGATGTTTTAAAGAACGTTTAAATTCCTTCCAAGAGGGTGGAAGTTTGTCAATTATACTCGACACGGCAGAGGATTCATCAACGTCTATCTTGTGGAGTTTAAATTGACCAAGAACACGAAAGAGTTCATTGTATTGTTCCATAACCGACCTTGAGTCAACCATTTTATAATTATTAAAATCACTCACCAAGAACTTCTTACTAGAAGCGTCCTCGGCGATGTATTTTGACTCAAGAGAATTCCACAATTCCTTCGCGCTCTCAACGTTTTGGTAAATATCAAATAACGCATCGGAGATACCGTTAAGGATGTGGCCTCTACATATGTAGTCATCGTTCTCCCACTTGTTACGCCTCCTAGCTTGTTCCAGAGTTTCATCTTCCATCACTTTCGGCATCGGAGTGCTCAACACGTACACAACCTTCAACGTGGTGAGAAGAAAGTGCATCTTCTTCTGCCATCTATGGAAATCGTTCCCTTGAAACTTGTCCAATTTGTTGAACTTGGACGTCATCTCCTCCACGGTACTCATGATTATCACAACACAAAAGAAAATATCACCATATTTCGTACAGAGGAGAGTGGAGGATTATATCCAACCTATCTTCATCACTTTGGCACTCAAATTAAAGATAACAATCCATATATTCGACTAGTTTGGCTCTAGTTCTTGTGCCTGAGTTCTAGAGTGTCCTTAACGATTATCCTAGATTGAATTTCTTGTAACCCAGGCATAGGGGAGAAATATCAATTCGGAAAGTGAACTTACATGATCCTTAAGCAATCCAAGTACTTGATTATCACCCCCTACGTGATCTACACCCCAACAAGATGAGCAGTATTTTCTAATACCATGAAAGATTCTCAGAAATGGAAGGCTATAAAATTGATGTATTATTCATTGAAGAAGAAGACTACAGCTGGAGTATAGAGAAACAAAGAGGCGGCACATTCTCCCATAAGCACTATATTTGTTTAGTAGGCTTCCCAAAACATTTTGCTATAAATATAGCAACTCTTTGAGGTTAGTTAGAACCTTGTCCCGCCCGATAAAGCTGGTATTAATTAGCCATCCCAATATAATTGTCCATTTTTTCCAACGAATTATTCTCTTCTACTCACAAATTCTACTCCATCCATCCCAATATAATTGTCCATTTTTTCAATGAATTATATTAATATATAATTTTTATGTAACTCAATAGATTTAGCCGATTCAGTTGCTTCATCCGGAATTTTATTAATTTCAAATTATTCTGCCTATTCTACAAATTTCATTGTTACGCCTTGTTTTTTAAACTAGAAACTAAGACACTACTTGTATTTGAAGAAAAACAAAACTCTGTTTTTCAGGGTCTAAATTCATAAGAACTTTCTAATTATCATTAGTGAATTGCAAACTTTTATACTCTCTATACCGGCACATTTCACCTTTTAGGTTCTGGATTGATAGCTCATTTATCTTTTAATACCTGAAAGATACATGAATTATCAATTCGGGACCAAAAAGATGAATTATGTCGATATAAGGTTTGAAAGATTGAAAACTATCAATCTAGGACCTAAAATTTCATAGGCTTTGATTGATTTATTTATTTTATAAAGTTCATTGCTAATTTTTTATGAATATTTCTTCACAAAAGTTTATTAGTTTAATAAAGTTAAATAATATCTTAAATTTAAAAAAAAATGTGTGACAACTTAGACTCTAAATTGATAGTTTGCAATCACTCAAAACTTATACCGACACATTTTATCTTTCAGATCTAAGATTAATAGCTCGTCTATCTTTTAGGTCGGAAAAAATTACTAATAAGAACATGAACTCAAATCTATAAAGGGAAAGATGACATATTTCCTCTATCCTTTGAATATCTTCTTTTATTCCTCTAATCCTCTTTGGGGTGTCCCTAAATAAGTACTTTTTTCCTTACTCGATAAAGAAATACTTACGAATTTTTCTATGAGCCTCAAATAATATTGTGTATAATGTCAAACAGGGTTAAATAGCAACTGCACTCTACAATAACATTTCCGCTCGGTAAAGAGGAATTTTCAGGAAGCCGAAAGATCTTAAACGGAAGTGAACACTACTTAAACGGAAGCTTTTTAAGAGATACTGCTAATGAACTATCAGGACTGAGTAGCCAAAATTGAGGACTCAAAGTGCTGACACTAATGTTGACGAACTAAATATGGTAGTCCCACACAGAAGTTTCATTTTCTATGATTGTTGGGGTAAGACTTGAATGTACAAAACGTGATGAGTTTTGGACCTTTGGTTGAACAAAAACTAATACTACGAATGAAAATTGGCCACAAATAACATCTTCTATGGAAAATGAAATGCATTTGGTAGCCAGTAACAACATAAAATGATGGTTCCTTATTTTGCAGATTGAGTAAAAAACACAAACTCCAATTTTCCTGAAGAACTACTCTTGTTTATCTGGTGTAAATTGAACAAATATTATGCACATCAGTTCTCCAAAATATTCATAAGGAGCTAAAAGCTGGCAAACGGACACAAACTGAGAAAATACCGAAACTTTAGTCACCATAATAAGGGCCACCATCACCATCATCTAGATCAGCCTCAACATCATCAGATCCTCCAAGGACGGAAAGGTATACCAAAACTGCAACCAGCTGAGTAACCAGAAAATACTTTGACCTCCGTCGAAACTTCTTCTCTTCTTCAGTCATTTTTTTCTTTTGAGGTTTGGTTTTTGGTTTTGAGCCTGAGCAGGGGAGACAAAGTTTCAATGACACCATTGTGCCTAACTATAGACATAAAGTATGCAAGTATGCATAAAGCTTTTATCCCAAGTAAGTACACGCAGACAGATCAACACTTCAATGCTAGTCAGCCACGTGTTCATTGAACATGTTCACATGGGACTAATAACCAGTTAAGTGCAATTTAATTTTCTATTGCATCAATATGTTCTCGCTTAAAACATGTTCCATACCATAAACACCAGCACCACTACCAGGTATTAAAAGGGAGAAATCAGGAGTTGTTGAATGAGTCAGATATTCCTTTCAGGAGCGGTATATTATGTAGAAAACGGTTACTACAAATATATATAAAAGTTTTGATGACACCATTGAGTCTTGACTATCGACATAAAGTATGCACAAAGCTTTTATTCCAAATAAGTACGTGCAGACTGATCAACAGTCAGTCAGTCATTGCTAGTCACTCATGTATTCATTGAACATGTTCACATGTTACTAATAAACCATTAGGTATTTAGGTGTATCAATATGTTCTCACTTTAAAAAAAGTCCAAACCATATACCACCACCACCAGGTTTTAAAAGGGAGAAATCAGGAGTCGTTAAGAATGAATCAGATATTCCTTTCAGGAGTAGAAAACAGAAACTAGTGCAAAATATGTAGAAACATGGGTATATTGAGAGAGACAGAGTAGAAATTTACTCCAAGTTGAATTACGTCTTGATGTTGATGAAGAGGGCTCATTATGCAATTGAGAGATAGAAGGCAACTCAGTCGTGTCTATGAACTGCAATTTAAAATTCTTTGTATATTTTACCAGATTGGCATACTCCGAGAGCTTGCTTCTTAGCACTGAAGTATCCTGCATCATAGTAAAGCAGGCATGTGGTAAAAAACACAAGGGGGTGATCATTATCATTCTTAAAAATATCAGAACTAAAAATGCATTGCTGCCTAAAATAAATACATAAAATAAAAAACCAGAAACAGATTCAATAAAGTAAATCATTAAATTATCTATAGATCTACTGTGGATAAGAAAGAGCAATTTAAATTACACAGGATCTTGAACTATTGAACGTATTAGTCCGATCTATATAAGTTACTGCATCACGAAATAATAAGCAATAAAAGTTTACATGTTGAAATCCACATTTAGTTGGACATGATCCACCTTCCCTGTTCTTGTATAATATGATTTCAGGCAATGACTATCACATCACTATTAGACTAATAGTTTCCTAAGATTATAAAATTTCAGTACTCTGCACCCAGTGAAGCATCTTGAATAAACTGAGCAGAACAATAGATATAGCAATAAAACAAAAAAATTGGCCTAGCAAAAGTGATGTAATGGTTGATACTTACGGGTAAGGCAAATAGTGTAATAAGTGCATGCCCAAGAAAAACAGCATCTAAGCTTGTTGGCCTGGATTAACATCAGTTGTTAGTGAAAACCGTGGCTAAAAATTATTTCCTACTAATAGAGCTGAATTGAAGAAGCCTTTTAGGAGAATTAAATTTAAAGACACACCAAACCCTACACCCTGTACAAAAAAATGAATACGGAGAGAATTGTTTAGTGAGTAACAGAAACCTGTTTTCAAATAAAAAGGACTGGTCTCCTAACATTGTTGACAAAGCACCATAAGCAGTGTAAGCTTTCCTATAAATCTGTCAAAAGTTAAAAAAAAAATCCTTTAATGAGTGTGAGAAATGAGTCATAAATAGATCTATACCTGTGTGTGTCTCTATTCAGGGAGAACCATCAGGCCACGAAATCAATAACTACAAATAATGACATAAACCCTTGCACCTAGTTTGCCCCAATGTATGCTTCGTAGCATGCAATACTGACCAAGAGTAATTAAAAGAAAGAATGACATAAAATGTCACATATACACTTTTGCATATACAATTTTGGAAGACAGAAATATGAATAATTCTCTTTTTTCCCCAAGGGTGTGACCAAATTCAATTTTTTTTCTCCTAATCACCTCTGCAGCTGACCACCACTGGAGACTGCCGCTGTCGGAATGATACTTTCTCCTGATTTTTTTTGAAAAACTTGCCAGAAAAATTCACTGGGAAAAAATTGCTGGTGGTCATTGTGACCATGTCTCAGGGTGGCAATTGCACTTGTGGAGGAGGCCGGAGACAGTGTCAACGACAGTAACTAATAGTGATGTAGTAAATTGAAAGTGACATAACAAAAACTGCAAGTGACATTCATAGTTTTCCAACTTCATTACCTTGTTAGTCACATTTCTGTCAATATGTAAAGTAATCACTATTTTGGAATTGGGCTTCAATATCATTATAAAAAGGGGGCAGGCCAGTGCACAAAGGTAACCCTGCAAGGCGAAAGTCCGGAGAAGGGTCCCACCACAAGGGTGTGCAAGGTATGAGCCTCCCCCTGTCAAATTTTTAACAAGAGACCGCTCCCAAGACTTGAACTCATGACCTCTCGTCATACAGCAACACCTTATCCGGTGAATCAAGGCTTCAATATCGTAATATTTTAGGAAAATCCTTTAGAAGAAATTGGGGCTTACTTCTTCTTCTCTTTTATCAACATTCGCAGTTGTTATCCCAAGTCTTTGTTTTGTATCATAAACTTGCTTCAAGTATAGAAGTTTTCCTACTGGCCAAGGAAGATCAGAATAATAGATCTGCACAGAACTTGCATCAGACCCTAGCCAGAGTTCAAACAACAGAGCATCAGCAAGCCATGAATCTGCCATAGCCATTGTTGATGCCCATTCTGGAATGTGGCGAACTGCAGAGTCTAAATCATCGACCATACCATCATCCTTTAAACTCTGGACCACACCACCCTTTTCATTGTTGTATGCCACATAAGATCCAGACTCAACGTAAGGTATTTGATCTGGCAATTTTGTAGAATAGTGTTTCAGCACAATGTGGAACTAATAGTGAAGACAAAACATAATGTCTACTTTATTCACTTCACCTAAAACCGCATACTCCATCTGTTTCATTTATATGTCCGTTTTATTTCATAAAAAATGTCTACTTTAATCATTTAAACACCATTACCTTTCAACTTAAAAAAAATATTTTGATTATGTAGTCCCAATTTCAGGAACATCTTCAGAAAATGCACATCTTAGTTTGTTTAACTTACCATGCACGTTGAAAGAAAATCTCTCCTATATATAGGAAGAGATGGAGAAAACTACCAAAAACACGATGTGTATCTTCTCATCTTCACATAAAATAGACGTCAAGTACAAAAGTTCCCCATTTTCTAGTAATACAGAACTACTAATGCTACTTTTAGCCCCACATTAAGTGAAAAAATTGAAGACATTACCTTCCAACTCATCTTTATATGGGGTTCCTAAAATCACTCCAACTTCACACATATACATCAAAAAATGAACTGTTGTGACCAATATACTACCAAAATGGTTAAGTCCAATTGATTGATTGATCTTCCAATCCAATTGATTACTTTTCACCAAAACCATGATATCCAAAATTCATATGTGATTGAACAGGTTGGCTGTCCCATACTATAAAAGCAAAATAATGTTCATAGTGTGAAGCAAAAAACGACGAACAACTCCTTCTGGATATTGCTTGAAACACATATTGACATAAATCATAAATGCCATTCAAGCAACTGTCGAGCTGCTGACAAATAGACTCACGTGTCTTCCCTTGAAACCAATTTTCAGTTATTCACCTCATTGATCCCGTCAATAAAATGTTCTTTTCTTTCTAATGAGACATAAGAATTATCATGCATTTATTGTAAGCCTTTGGAAAGCTAGAAGTCGAAAGCATTATCATGCATTTATTTAAATGTTCACTTTATACACTGCTTCAAGTTCCATAAGTGATTCTTAATTAAAGCATGCAACAATTGAAAATTCAGACATGCAGAAGGTTGTAAATGTAGTAATAGAGAGCACTACCTAGTGAAGAGCTCATAATAACACTAGGTATTTGTTCATTTCTTTAATCAAAGCATTACTAAACAATTTTCCCTGGTTTTGCTCATGAGCATGTTCATTTAGCATTACGATTAAATTTCTTTCGTTTGAAATAAATTTTTATTTATTATTTGTTATTTACTCCGTATTATTTATTATTTCATTTAAATTTTTATCATTATTCAATGATTATACATGAAATAAATTAAGCTTAATCTTTATACTCCTTATAAAGAATCTTTTTTCATTTGTTTATATTAATTAAATACAACAACAGCAACATCCAAGCCTTAATCCCATAAGGTTTTGGGTCGGCTAACATAAATCGATCCATGATATCGATGCCAAAAAGAGAAGACAGACACAAGGTTCGAAATTGCATATTGCTTAGTCATGGCATTTTTTTGTTATTGCATATTGCGTAAGCCTCATTGCGCAATGAGGCGTAGGCCTTAAAATTTATATATGTGTAGGTGTGTATTATATACTACGTGTAATATTAAGCTTCCAGAATATTAACCTTACAGAATTATAACAACAAATTTCATCCTATCATATTAACAGAAAATTAAATAATATTAATATTAATATTAAAATTAAGATAATAAATACTCCGTAGTATTAACTTCCTGTATCAAAACGATGAAAAATAATTCATTAACTAAAATGAAGATGAAAGTGATGATAATAAAATACTTGGGATGAAAATCATATATTTAACTAAAACGATGGAGTTAATTGAGAAGCGTAAAAGCCTTAAACATGTACCACCTATTGCATCGATGAAGAAGCAGTAACGCAAATAACACAGGTCTTCTGCTTGAGAGCCCTGTGATGCGCAGACGAAGTAGCAGCAAGCCAAAAAGGCAGAAACGCAGGTTGATCTTCTGGAAGAAGAAGGGTTGAGCAGAAGCGGGGACTGGGATTTATGAGTCGGCAACAAGCGACAGGCCTTAAAAATACTACTAACGAACCAAAAAAATGGGCCCTATCAGCCCACAATTCTGCGCAATTCTCCTGAATTTGGGCGAGGCACGCCTCATTGCGTAATTGCATTGCGCAATTTAAAACAATGGACAGACAAGAAGAAAAAAGAAGGATAAAACGAATAAGATAAAGATAAATAAATATAAGATAACAATAACATAAGAATATAAGAAAGATTAAAGGTTAAAAGATAAAAGAGCGTAAAAAAGCTAGAAGATAAAAATAACATAAGAACATAAAAGACAAAGAAGATAAACGATAAGAGAAAAAGAGAGAGGAAAGATAGAAAAGAAGAAAAGCAGAAAAGAAAAGAGATAAAAAAAATAAGAAATACATAAACTTTTATTTATGACGAAATACTATGATCGCGAATTGTATGTAATTGAGTTTAATAAATAAAAAAATGATAATTAACATCACATAAAACTAAAAATAACCGCTACACATTAAGACATTGATATATAAAAAAAATGAACTTTGGGACTTCCTTTGGGTTTTAAGACCTTAATATGAGTGATTCTTACAACAGTGAACAAGATGTTCAGAAACAAACCACCATATATAAATTCAAAACAGCCAGACCTCCATCTGCTAAGTACCTATTTTCTACTTTGGAGCTTGAGCCTAAGAGTAACCTATCCTCATTTACAATTGTTATGCAAAACTTCATACAAGTTTTAGACCAGGCTCAGACTAAAAAGCTGGTGCCAAGTGATAGTGAGGTCACAACTCACAATTTAAAGCTGTACACAACTGTGCATTACATTTTATGGAAATATAAGGTAAAGATGCACACATAAGGCCTTACAGGCCTTGCCCTTCCCTGAAGGTGCCGGAGTGCCCATTTTTAGAAGGTACAAATGTAAAATCGAGAACTGCTAGGATGAAAAGTAAAATTCCCTGCTATTATTATATAACATCAAATTATTCTCTTTGTTTTACTCCAAAAAACTCAGAATACACTTCATGGGAAGTGCAATAAAAGCCATCCGCACAGCAATTTTATGTACATGAGAAAGACAACAGTCCTGTAGAATTTACCATTCTAACTTTCCATTTCCTACATCTAGTTTCTCTAATTAAAAATATTAATTTCTATTATGATCCCCTGTGAAAATTAGATGTGCTAAAAGGGACCGATCAGTTCAAGTATCAACTAGAAGAACTTCCACTATACAAAACAATTACTATCGTATAAGTCTTTGGGAATTGAAACCTAAATGAGCAAAAGATCAATAACGACAGTAGAGAATGGAGGGAGACAGTACCAGAATCAGGATGAACAAGGTTGAAGGCCAAATCAAAGGGGCGTTTGCATAACCTGAGGTAAACATAAACGGGCAAGCAGTTTGGACACGCAGTGGGTAGTCCGAAACATGCTCTTCTGGCCACCAGAGTCAATCTGTCGTTGTCTTCCTCCATTGATTTCTGGACATGTACATCCAGGGGTGGCAACCGTATTAAACCCCTCTATTTTCCAGAAGGTAGGGTTTTGCCTGATCAGATACTTACCGTTCCTTTTAGGGGTGTTTGGTTAGCGGCCTATCAGCCATATTTTGACTGATTTGACCAATATTTGGTTTTTTGACTAGATAAACAGCTAATTAAAATGTTTGGTTAGTTGTCTCTTTCTCTTGGCTTGTTACCCAAAACAGACAAAGGGGTGTTTGGAACTCATTCTGCTTCTGCTTCTTTTTTAAAAGCAGAAGCAGAATCAGAATCAGTTTTCAGACGCTTGTACCTCCCAGCTTCTAAAAAACTTATTCTGAGAGTAAATTAGAGCCCCAGAAGCGCTTCTGGAATTTCACCCAAACACTCCAGCTTCTGATTCTGCTCCCTGAAGGAGCAGAATCAGTTTTGAGAATCAGATCCAAACACCCCCAAAATCCAAAAGGCTGATAAATCTGGCGTTTAGCTACCGGCTGTTTGAATATTACGCCTATATTCCTATTTTGCCCAAGCCGTGTTCTCTTCTTCGTGCGTTACATTCACCTCTTCCAGTCAGCCAGTCTTCCACTTTAAAAAAAAAAGCAGAGCATTGAATGCTGGGTGATTACACACCAAGGTTGTCCCCTGAGCCTAAATCAAAAAGACAATCAAAGCCAAGGGAACCGCTAATTTACTTGTTTTCATTAATTCTTAGTATGTACTTTTTAGATCATAAATTAATTTTTAAGTAGTTGTAATAATAATATTAATAACAAAAAAGGTTAATTGATGTCCTTAAAAGTAATTTAACAAGTTATCTGTCAATTGTGAACTGCCGTTTAACCAAATACTATTTAGTCTACGGATGTTTGGTGTTTGAAAATTTATAGGGTTGTTTTCCAACCACTTTAACAAATCACTTTTTCTCGGCTTTTGACTTTAAAAAACACTTCTTTTACCAAACATTATAACTTTTATTTTTCTCGGCTTTCGTGTCAAAAATGCTTTTACTTTTTCTATTACACAAAAAGCACTTACTTTACCAAACACTATCAACTTTTACTTTTCAAAATCACTTTTTTTCAAACACTATCAATTTTTATTTAATCATTTCTTTCCATTTCATTAAAAAAAGTTTTTTTTAAGCAAAAACTGTTGCAAACTGCAAACAGACCCTTAGTCTATTCGTAACGAGAGGAGAGCTGGTGTATACTTTTTTTTTGTACACATTTTGTGTACACCCCAGTTGTTTATCCAATGCAGCTTCTTAAATGAAATGTATTGGACAAACAACTAGAATGTACACAAATATGTACAAAAAAGGTGTATAGACAGCTTTTTTGTTTGGTAACACGGAGTACTCCCTTATCTCTTCTTAAATAAATGTTCTTCCATGGTACAAATAGCATACATATTAAAAAGAGGAAAGGAGTAAATAAGCTCACGTACTAATCAAAAAAGTTTAAATAAGCATTTATATTGGAGGCTATGTCTGGCCGTCACAATTTGGGGAGGTTCCCGGTAGCATTTTTTGATTAATTGTTTTGAGCATTTTTTTCATCAAGTCTAGTTTACTCATACCAAATTTCAGCTAACAATTCAATCGGGAAGGCATTCAAATGAATTCTTGAAGATAACTGCGAAGTTATCTTCAAAAATTCATTTTGAATGTCTTCCCAATTGAAGTTTTAATTTAGCTGAAATTTGGTTTGAGTAAACTAGACGTAATGAATAAGATGCTCAAAAAAATTCCTCAAAAAGTTCCACCGGGAACCGCCCCAAATAATGGCTGGACAGAACCTCCTATATAAGGCTTATTTGACTTTTTTTATCAGTACGTGGGCTTATTTGCCCCTTTTCCTTATTAAAAAGGTGTGTGTTATGTAAATATGTAATGGAGAGTTATGCAGAGAAAATAGAAATGTGTAAAAAAGTTATAAAACACATATTTTTTGTCAAAAAAGAAAAGTTAAAGTTTTATTGGAACGGTCGAAAAATGAAAGTTGAAAGTTTTTCAGGACGCAGGGAGTATTAATAATATTTATGCGGTTGAATTGCCTAACCTGCCAAAGTATAAAAATGGTATTTAGAATATATCTTATTAATAGATAAAAAATACTATAAAACAAAAACAATTATATAAAAAATAGTTAAAATAATTATCTGCAATATCTTTAGTCAATTTCATCATAATACATCACTTATTTTGACTATTTCACAATTCGGCAGATGAAATAGAAAAATACGTGTTTGGTGAAAAAATGGTCGATGAGATTAAAAAGCTGAACATGATAGTTACGAAATGAGTTCTTATTCCGATTTTAATAGAATTTTATCAATCCAGAACCAGAAAGTTATGTTTACCGTAAATAAGGGACCTCAAAAATAAAATGTGTAGATATAAGTTTTGAATAATTAACCTAAAATACCACCACTTTAAAATTAAATACTGAGTATTATTTAATCTTACTAAACTAATAAGCTCTTACGCACAAAAAAATATTTGAAAAGTTAGGGAAGGAATCAATGGACATATTTTTTTAGGTCTCGGATTTATAACATATCTAATAATAATATCTGAAAAAATCAGATGAGAATAGAAATATTCATATCATATCAGAACAAGCAAGGAAGATTAATAGTAGACCAGATCGGAAAGATATAGATGAAATAAGGATCGATCTTGTCAATTTTAGGGCTCGGGGAGAATACTCTTTAATGACTGAATTTTTGAAAATTGTCCAAACTAAACGCATAATAATAATAATTGAAATATTTTATACTTTGTATGTAGTATTAAAGAAAAGATGTTCGCAACTCGTTGAACGAAACAAAGTTGAATTACAGTTAAAAAAATAAAAATTATATAAAAACAATATATTACTTAATTATTTTTTTGAGCATTGTAAATTTAAATCGAGCATTGTAAAGAAAAATCATTTTTTTGAACAGTTGTAAAGAAAAATATCAACTATAGCTTCATATTCAAGTTATTCTAATACATTAAAGTGTTTAAAATTGCTAACTCATTGAGTCTTTTATGGAGACATTGTTGATCACAAGCAATTTTCTAAAGCTTTTTTCTATTGAACAAATTTTAACATATGGTATTTTCTCTATCATTCTCCTTTTGCTTCTTTTGTCATCCACATTCAATCAAAAAGTTCTAAATCGTTATCGAAGAAATTTTAACATTACCTCAGAAATACAAAATAATATTTCATAAGTTTCTTACAAAAATGACATGTATATTACTAAACAGAGTTTGACCGAATAAAAAAGATGACTAGAGGTGATTTATGGAAGAAAACTGAAAGAACTGGCTGGTGTAGAGCAACTTGAGTGAGAAGAGTGAGTAGGCAGAAGAGCAGATGATGGCTAGCGATATAACTTAGTGTTTTACACAAGTTTTAAGTTTTTTTTAAAAAAAAATTTATTGATGAAAAAGCAAATACAAATGAGAAGAAAAAGACAAAAACACAAAAGAAACAAAGAGACAAACAGAAGAAAAAACAAAACCACCCAACCCCAAGTACACATGATAATATGCCCCCCAATAAACGCAAGTTTTAAGTTTTTACGTACTTTACTTTTAAGGTTTTACGCATGTTTAAATGGTTTTACCTTATTATTTAGATGGGTTGAGTGTTATTGAAGATATGGGCTAATAATTTTTTAAAGTTTTAAATCCCAAAAAAAGGCTTGTCGGCCTTTTCCAAACTAGGCGACCCAGGCGTGCGCCTCATGCGCTTCAGTGGTTCATGCGCTTATTCTGCGCCTGACCCAGGTACGTGCGCCTCCCCTTCTCCCAAGCACTAAAGGCTCTGCTCACTGCGCCTGGTGCGCTTAAGCGCTGGGGCGAGCGTTTTTGACTACCGGGTATGGCTACTCAATCTATTTTCAAAAAGGCAAAAATCACATTGCATCGTTTTATAAGCATAGTGCAAACACACAAAGTACACAAGCGTTAAATGTCTCAATTGAAACTCCTAATATCTCATCCACTCAAGAAGTATTTTCTGATGCACTTAAAATTGTGTGGGATCCGGAAAAACGCTAAAGGATAAGTGATTGGCTGTTAGAGAAAATAGATGAAATTAGACGATCTTATTTGGTGCTTGGACCTTATCAACCGAAATTGAACTCTTACAAAGGCCGAGTTTACAAAGATAAGATATGTCGTTTTCAAGCTACTTGGTTCAATGAATTTATCGAATGTCGCTTTTAAATTTCTCATATAATGTTTTTAGTGTATAGTCGGCCCAGGGTAAACATCTACGCCCCTGAATGTGATTCAATTGAAATATGTATATGCCTACAAAAATTTGACTGTGAAAAAGTAAAAACAACACTCATTCTACACATTTACTTCTAAATAAAGAAAATAACATTGATTTTGCAAGTACATAAAATAAAGAGCTTATAGCTTGACTGATACTCCTAATATTTCAGCTATTTAAGAGAAATTTGTTTCTAATGGCATTGGTATATACGCTTAAGGGTTGTTCGTAAACTTTAACTTGTACTCCGCTTTGTTAGTAATATCGGTTCGCGAATAATACAATAATACGTACATTCGTGAAATATATAAAGATACGGACGTGTTTTAAACGTTTCACAATTTAAAAATATGATATATAATATGTGCCTTATATACTAATTTAATACAAAACTAAAGAGTTATTTAACATTTGTACCACATTCTTCAACAATTTAAAATGTACGAAATATTTTTTTCATATATACGGATTTGAACGCACAAGTACAATATAAGTAATAAAAATGACATTGCCTATTTGAGTAGAAGTATAAAGATGTTATTAGATAATAGTTGATAATACTGTGACCGTGAGTTTGGTGAGCCGCCACAACATTTTTCGATCTCTTTGGAGTCTTGGTATGGGTGGAGAACAAAACTAATAAAGTACTAGTACAATAGTAATATTGAAACGGATTACGAATTTAAGAAGCTAATTTATCAAATGTAATGACTATTAAACAATTAACGAATATATAAGGCATAAACTTTTTAAGCAATATAAATAATATTGAGCAGCTAAACATTTCGTTTCAGTTGTATCACTACATTAGGCTTCTGTTTAATGTGTGTGTTTTGAATAAAATATGTATCAATACATACAGTACGTGTATTATACGAAGTACATTTTATGCTTAAAGTACGAGAGTTTTTAAGAATTTTTTGAAAAAATCACAAACGAGAGTATTATACGGGAACAAAATACGTATCGATACTTACGGTACGTGTATTATACATTTTATCCTTAAAGTACGTGAATTTTTCCGAACTTTTTGAAAAATTCATTAACGGGAGTATTATACGTGAATTATACGTTTGAGTGTATTATACGCGAATTATACGCGTATGAATATATCAATGCCGGTTAAAATTGATGAATTTATGAGTGAATGTGTTGAGTTGTGAACTAACTATTTTTAGAATACTTTTTATCAGTAAACCCTATAAATATTAATTTGAATAATGCTTAAAGTCCCATGTTAAAAAGTACTATACAAATTTACTTACTTATTATTACATAACTGATAAGTCCGTATTTAGACACGTATTTTATGCGTGTTGGGACCGGATTTTGATGGTTTTCCTAAGCTTTAATGTGTTGCAAGTCTCAATTTTAGATCAAGTTGTGTTAACCAGGCGTTGGATCGAGTTTTGTTGCATTTGGAGTCAAATCGGAGAAGTTAGAGACCGGCAATCGGCACTTGAGAAGCAATCGGGACGATTTGAGAAGCATTTGAGATTGATTTGAGAGCTTTGAAGGTCACCGGGAGGTTCACGATGAAGATTTGATGACAAAAGAGCTCTAGGATTGGTTATGGGATGAATGAAGCTGGAAAACGACAATCAGGATGACCTTCTGTCGATCGTTCAATCATATCTCTTGGTAGAAACATCCAATGAACACGATTCAAGTTGCATGTGAAAGCCAACTTCAAGTGCTACAAATCATAAGAAGACACCTTTGCGAGAATCTGAGAGGACGAAGGTGAAAACACATGATGAAGTCAGATAATCCCTGTTGCGATTTCAGAATGCGACCTTCCACCGTTTTGATCATATCTCTTGATTGGATGATTCAAATCTCATTCTGCAAGTTTTGGTAGATAGACGACTTAATTATCTACAACGTTCGTGAAGAAAGTGTTGTCAAATTCGGAAGTTAAGTAGACACGATCGTGCCCTCAAAGTTAGACACGATTGTGCGTGAAGAGAAAAGCGCCGTAGAGTTTCTGCCAGCCAGGCACGATCGTGCCTGGCTGGAGGCACGATCGTGCCTGCCCAAAATGCGCGTTTTTGCTCCGGAGGCGCGGTCGAAGGCACGATCGTGTCTGGCATCGTGCCTACCTCCGGAAATCCCAATTCAAGTCAAATTTCACCCGATTTTTCTATTTAAACAGCCTGTAAACCCCCGTTTTGAAGGGGGGGCTTAGAGAGAGTGCCTAGTACGAATTTTAGAGGGCTTTTCAAGCCTTGTTCATCAATCTTTTGGTATTCTTTGTAAGTTCTATTTTTTTAATTAGTGACAATTATTTCTATTTATCCCAATTCTATTGATTCTTCAATTATGAATTGTGAGTAGTTTTAATTAGGGATTTGGGATTGATGAATGGGTTAATCATGATGCCTGGTCCCCTAAATTATTGTACTCTACGCCGCGAGAGCGGTAAGAACTTAGTAATGATTAGCTAGGCTCAATTGAATTAATTTCATGTGATTAGGCCTGATCTGCCAGAAATCTGGTTACCCCGGAATCAATCCCTATTCCCTTCGTCATTAATTAGAGAGAACCCACGTAGTTTAATTGTTCATTCGCATTAGTTTAGTTTCCAATCAATCAAATATCTCACAACGCATTTATTTTATTTCCTTTCATCGCTGAATTTAATTAATACTTATTTCCCTTTTGTACGTCACTGTGGAGACGATACTCGTACTTACACCACTATATTACAATCTTTTTAAGTGCGAGAAAACTCACATCAATAACATGAGCAAAATAATAAAAGTTCCATGGAAAAATATAATTGGTAAAATTGACATGTTCATAATAGTGAAATAAGATTCTTAATATGAATCAATAAAATTAAATTGTACAAGTCTCATTTCGAAAGTGAATTAGTTGAATTATTAAATCAAGGAAAATGTGACACATAAATTTATTTATTACATTTTAGTTAAAATCAGAAAAAATGGTATGCCCAAAAACACATTCCGCCGCATATCATGTTTATTTCTGTAGTTTATCCTGATAGATTAATGGCAATGTAAATGCATTCTTAAGCAAGTATACAGTACTTTATATTTTATAGAGAAAGTTTACATATTTAAAAGAGAGTTTTCCTAAAATATTATTAATAAAAAGTTTATAGAAAAAAACGTGACTATATATTAGTATGTGCAAGTTTTGTATTTACTGCGATATAACATTAGAATACAATTATAATCACCCAGGTTTTAGAGTCACACCTTTGTCCACAGTCCACTACTTTTATTTTGGGTTATGTATTTGGATTTGTTTTAAATGAAGTACTTCGTATATATTTGGAATTAATCACTTAAAAAGAATTAATACCTATTGAATAATACTCCCTCCGATTCAAAAACAAGTTCCACCTTTCCTGTAACACTTGAGATTTAATATAAATGGATTAATAGTCCTACTCATACCAACAAAATGCATCTCCTTTTAAGGGAGCTCATCCCATCAGAACTCCAAAGTTAAGCGTGCTTGCACGGGAGTAGTCCTGGGATGGGTGACCCCCTGGGAAGTTTCTCAGGGCGGGCATGAGTGAGGACAAAGTGCGTGAAAAAGGCTAGTGGCGGTTTGTGAGGACAGTATTAGAGGTCTGGAGTAACTACCTCGGGTCCCACGGGGGTGGGGGTGTTACATTTCCTTTCCGGGCAGTTCCAAAATTAAGTTCCACTTTCAATCTTTTCCTTATTTGGCAAATTATCTAAATCAAAACAGTTTCAAACAGTGTCAAACAATGTCAAACAGTGCACTCCATAGTAAAGTCAAATTTCTTTTCTACATTCAATTTCTACAAATTGAATGGAGAGATATGTATTTTGTTAGGAAAGTGTCGATTTTAATTTTTGATAAAATGTTACCAATATGAATGATCCATAAAAAATAAGGTCATCTAATCCACTAAAAGTCATATTTTTAGCTCCTTTTTCTTTCTTCTATTTGAATAAAAAAAAGTACAGACTAGTTGACAAACAATGAAGGCTATCCAATCTTCTCAAATAACCACATTTTTCTGATCGTCTCATTTCTCAGACAACTTAAAAATATTGATTTGCGGTGTATGTGACGAATAAATCAATTATTCTATAAATGTGGGTTACAAGGAATTGTTAAGAAATGTGTAAACTGCAGAAATCTTATAATGATACGTATTTATTTATTTCTTTTTATTCCAAAACATACTTTGTACCACTTAGAAGTCGTAACTACCTTTTATTCAATAAAAATTTGTTTTTGTATTACATCTATATACTATTTAGTATTTATATTCATTTACACATTAACTAATACAGAGTACTTTTTTCAAATCCATTTTATATGAGTATTGCTTAAATATGTCCCGTGCATCGCGCGTGAAAATCTAGTTAGTTCCAAACACTATGGGGATGTTTTCTTTTGGACTTTTTTCGGTCCCATATCAGACCAGACCAAATCATACCAGACCAGATCAGACTTGAATTCCGTAATTATAAAATACACAGAGACCAAACGTTTACCAGACCAATTCAGATCAGAGAAAACATCCTGAGTCTGCCAAGAAACCCCACTTCCCTTCCTCTTTGCTCTTGAAGTCTCATTCTGAGCAAGCACGGAGATATAGTCTTGTACAAATAAGTCTCACTCTGCGAAAAAAAGCTGGGCGCGCCTAGTAAGGTTTGTGGAGCGAATAACTTCTGAGTTTTTCACTTCTTTGAGACTTGAGAGCTATGAATATAATTCAGAAACCGCTACCCGGCCGCCATTTTTTGTCTCGCCTGACAACCTCATGGGTTGCGAGCAAACACATTTCTTGCTCCTCTGATTCATCTTCAGACACCAGTGATCTGTGCTCCCAGACATTGGATTCCCAGTTGAGATCACATCTATGCGCAAAGCATTGCCCTAGTTCATCCGCTTTAGTTGAGGCTGTGCGCCTCTTTGAGCATGCAGTTTTTGATTTGAGACAATGTCCCCATGCGTCTACATGCAATTTTCTTGTTGAAACTCTGGTAAAGAACAAGGCATACGGACTTGCATTTGATACGTATGGCAAAATTACCCACACCCTTGGTTCTGCTCATTTTAAGCATAGTTTTTTAACTCTAGCCGCCTTGGTTGAGATTTTCGTGCACACTCACATGCCTGATTTGGCCTTTTCTGTGTTTGGGTTGATTTTTAAGCGAGGTTTTGTTATCAATGTGTACCCCTTCAATATGTTGTTGAAAGGCTTCTGTGAAAATGGGATGGTTCACAAGGGGGTGGAACTTTTCTGTGGGAAAATGGTATCCCCTGACACAGTTAGCTATAACACCCTCATTAAAGGGCTTTGCAAGGCGAACAAATTGCAGGAGGCTTTGAACTTGAGGGTTGGTATGGAAAATGCAAACCTTACTCCCAATGTGCTCACATATACTATATTGATGGATGGGCTTTTCAGGGAAGACAGGGAGGTGGATGAAGCAATGGGATTGCTGGATGAGATGAAGATCAAGGGTTTGGAACCTGATGTGTTTACCTATACCATACTTATAAATGGGCTTTGCAGTAAAGGTAATGTGAACAAAGGCAAGGAGGTGTTTAATGAAATGCTAGTGCATGGGGTATCTCCGAATGTAGTAACATATACGTCTTTGATAAATGGCTTTTGTAAGAAGGGCCAGCTGAAAGAAACCATGATGATGTTCAATTCTATGTTGGAGCGTGGAGTCAAGCCTGATATTGTCACATTCACCAGCATAATAAATGGGCTTTGCACAGGCGGAAGGGCAGACAAAGCATTGAAGGTGTTTAAATCGATGCTTGCAAAGGGTGTAGTGCCTGGAAGTATAACTTACAATGTTCTGCTTCGTGGACTTTTTGATAAGGGATTATTAACCGATGCTTATAATATCTTACAACTAATGATAGAGAAGGGTGAGAAACCAGACGTGGTGACCTACAATACCATCGTGCAGGGGTTTTGTTACAATGGGAAGGTAGATCATGCCATGTCACTGTTTAACTCAATGTTGACAGACAAGAAGATTTATACTGAACCAGATGTTAGAACAGTGACTGTTTTGGTTCAAGCACTGTGTCAAGGAAAACGCATTGATGAGGCTACAAAGGTTCATAGTAAGATGGCAGCTGATAACAAAAAACTTGTTGATGTGCGAACTTTCACTGTGCTCATTGGAGCTTATCTAAAGGAGGAACATAGTGTTGAGCAAGCTCTGTGTAAATGGAAGCAGATGACTGAACTTGGTTTTATTCCAGACTCATTTTCCTTCAGTTCCTTAATTGATGGATTTTGTAAGTTAAAAATGCTAAACATTGCAAAGGGGATTTTTCTAACCCTGAAGAACCGCACAGTGTTTGATTATAACTCAGTCATGGCAGCTTTGTGCAAGGAAAGCAGCTTTGAACAAGCAAGGAGGTTGATTCAGGAGATGATAAGTGATGGGAAGTGTAAACCTGATTCTGTCTCGTACAATATCATAATTGATGCGGCTTTGGAATCAGGAAATTTGCAGCTTGCTGAAGAACTACTAACCCAAATGCTTCAAAGGGGTTTGAACCCCGATGCTTTCACCTTTTCTATACTAATAAGTAGGTTTTCAAACCTAGGACAGATTGAGGTGGCTAAGAAATTGTTTGACAAAATGGTTGCATCTGGCCTCACACCCGGCATCCATGTATATGATTCTTTACTCAAGGGATTTAGTCTTAAAGGCGAACCAGATGAAATTATTCATATGCTTCACCAAATGGCTGCTAAAGGAATTGTTTTAGACTCTAAAATCACTGCAACTATTTTAAGATGTATTTGTGACACATCTGAAGATCTCAATTTGGCAGAGCTTCTTCCAAAGTTTGCTGAGCAACAATCAAAAGAAATATGTGTTCCATGTGATGCATTACTGATAAAGATCCAAAAGAGTCTTCACAAGTGTCAGACATGTTCAGCTTGATTCTTAGACTTCAGTCACTTGTTTACCATTTTCCATCATTTGCAATGGAGCCAAAGATTCATCCTATACCTAAAAGCATTACACTGGAGAGAGAGAATTCTCCCGCCTAAGAGCATGGCCTAAAATGTAATTTTGCAGCTCAGCAATTCTACGCTCACCATTTCTCGCCCACCTCCTCGACTTTGCCTTATCCTCTCTTTCCTTCACCGGATTTTTCTTCACCGATTTCCGTGGATCGCTTCACCCTTACCCATACTGTATCTAAACCCTTACCACCTTCTCTTCAACGTTTTAAGCATTTGAAGAGCTCCAGGAGATCCTCTGATTCTCCGAGCCGCACTGGAAGATGAATTCTCTCACTCCGCCGCTTGAATTCATTGAGGTATGCTCTTCAAGTAGCTATTTTTGTATGATTCTATTGACTTATGAAGCCTTTGATTGCATCCTGATTTGTTTATTCTTGAGCTTTCCTAATTTGAACTCCCTAGCACTCGATCGTTTCTCGATATACAGTATGATGTTGCATCCCGACAAGTTAGGGCATCCAAATTGGCTGATATGAACAAATGACAACGATTCACTTTGCCCCCAAACTCTATTCCATTGGTAATGTTTTCATTTTCATTTTCATTTACCCTAGTGCCGCAAAGGCTCCCGCCTATAGTGGGGTAAGGGGGGGTCGGATGTACGCAGTCTTACCCCTGTACTAAAGCACAGAGAGACTGTTTCCGGATGACCCATAGTGAAAATCGCGTCCAAAATTGCATGGACTGACTGCTGCTTCATAAAAAAGAAGCGCAGACAGTTTAGTGAGCCATTTTGCTTTATTTCATCATATTCTTAAGCCAAAAAAATAATGAATCTTTGGCTCCATTGGTAATGTTTCTGAACTCAAAATCACCAAACGAATTCCATGTTCTATTTTCATACAGTACTCTTCAACGTGTTCTTCTGAACTCAAATACTTTCAATTTCATGATAGTTTTCTTTAGTTTAGAGGAAAATGGGCTATATTTTAACTCTGACCAGATTTTGGTAAGGAATAACCAAGCCAAACAAATTCTCTCATTCCTTTAAGTTCAGTCTTGACTGTTAGTATCGTTTACTAACATTTTCTAATCCTTTAAATTCAAAAACTATTCTAGGAATGAGACAGTTTTCACCAAATCGATACCAAGGGTCACTCTAAGCAGCCTGCAAGTGAACTAAAAAGGAATAACCAAAAGAATATAATAATATCAAAGAAAATTCAGATTCTATATGGTCATCTATTTTAAATAGCAACCCTTCAAAAATGGCATACCAAAGGTAATTCGATTCCTGTTAGACATCTTTATTTCCCATGCTTAAAAAATGGCATACCAAAGGTAATTCGATTTCTGTCGGACTCGGGTTTTTATTAGGTTTTTAAAATTACTTTGTTAGTTTGTTATTTTTCTTGGCTTATGTTATCTGAAATACTTTAGTCTTTATAGTTTTTTAACATAACAAGTAGCACGTATTGCAATTAATATGAATTGCAGGATTTAGACACTTCATTGATCTGGTATATGTGTCATCTCTCTTTCGCATCCGACTATTCAAAGACTACTCACTGTTGATGGAGGTAATCTATGACCGTGTGTTTGGAATGAGGGGGCCCGGGGAGGAATGTTAATAAACTATAAAGTAAAGGTATCATAAAGGAGGGGAGGGATGATCATGATCCACCTAGACGGTACACATTTGCTTCTTCTCTGCTGGAGAAGAAGCAAATACTCGCAGTAAACAATCCAAGCAAACCCGCAAACAAGTTGCACCTTCTGCAATGTTTTCTTCCAAATGCTGTACCAAAGGTGAATGTATGATTTGCTTAGTCTTACACTCTCACTTAATAAGATGACTTTTATTTCTTTATTAGTTTTTTAGTCACTCTTTGTGTAATTTCCATGTGAACCATTGTTGACACCTATATGCATATGTCAATGGCTTTTTGTTTGTAACTTTGTTTCAAAGCTTGAAATCTGATTATCATTCAGTTTAAACCACAATCTTGCATTACAAATTCTATTTGCACTGAATTACTCATATTAGGTTGTTCCACTTTCCTAATTTGGTTTCAGTTTTTCTATCTTCTACTGTGATTCTGTGAATAGAGATGAATATGTCTAAATTGTATTTGGATCTATCAAGTACATCTACTTAGTTTAGTTGATAAATTTGTTCTCGAATTTGATCGTCTTATATTTTCCTAATGAAGAAGGCAGGGTAGAGCATTTTGTATGGTAAACTACTAAGCTCTCCAATTCTGATCTCAATTATTAATGTTAGTCTTAATTTTATTAAATCTCCAACTCTAAATAAACCAGTGGTGTTAGTTTTTTATAAATCAGTCTTTAATAAATTCCCAGTAAAAATTGTGAGCACAAATTCCCAGTAAATAACATACATTAGTTCGGTTGCTTAGTTCGCTTACTTTTTCAATCCAACGTCGTACATATACATGAGCAATCAAAGTGTCCGTTAGGCTCAGACCGCTCAGTAAAGTTGTTACTTTTGTTTTGGATTTATTTGGTTTACTTGGTTAGTTATTGTATACAGAGCTTATCTCCATTTTCACTCTATTTTGCATTTTACTTTTTTATTCATATATACTTGTGTATCTATTGGACCCCTTTGTTGTCATTTTACTCATACTCATTATGATTGTAGGTGCTTCTTTATGATATTTCTGGTTAGAGGAGACCTATAATATCAATTGATTTTCAGCACAAACATCCACAAAACCTGTAGCTATGACCTAGATGGGTGCAAAGTATAAGCAAGCAAATGGTCTCAATTGATAAGTGCAAAGGTGTGTTTTTGGGCTGTGCTTTTTAAATTCTGATGTTTTACTACCTTTTAAGAACAGGTTTGATAATACCTTTATCTGGTATTAAAAAATCAGGTACTAAGAGCCCGTTTGGTAACTCAAAAATCGGCTGATTTTGCTGAAATTTATGAAGCTTTGGTTGAAGTGGCTGATTTTGCTGATTCAAGAAAAAAAATTAAAACATACTCCCTCCATCCCGTTGGGATGTTCCCGGTTTGACCTACACACATATTAAGGAAATAAATTTACCAGGGGGTAAATTTTACTGTTTTGACACTGTTTCGACACTGTTTGACACTGTTTGGCACTCTTTTGATGTAGGATAACTTTCCATTTAGGGAAATGAGAACTTCTTTTTGAGACATCTAAAAAAGGAAAGCGGGAACATCCCAACGGGACAGAGGGAGTATTTTATTAATAAAATAAAAAAACTTTATGTAGAAAATGAAATAGCTAAAATGATCATCTACAGTAACTTTAGCCAATAAAGTCAGAAAAGTAACTTCAACTTTATTTTTTCTTATTATTTCACAATTCAGCGCGCGAAAATAAAAATCACGTGTTTGGTGAAAAAGTTGGCTGATAAGCCGAAGATCAGTGTTACCAAACGGCCTCTAAATTTAATACACAACAAGTTCCATGCAATCTTTTTCTGTTAATCCAAGTATGATTGCATATTTTTTTTTCTTTTTCAAATCATTTCAGTTCTTTGAACTGATCTATCTTTGAATTGCTTTTAGGTTGTATGCAATTTGCAAATGCTGGTTCACATTAGCACTATCAGAGAGAATGCTTTACTTATTTTGTTTTTCTTAATATTTACTCTTTCTTTTTTCCTTAAGTTTGATGCATTTGCACACTTTGCATATTTTAGTGTTGGAAAAAACAGCAGGGAAGGGAGAGGAGTTGTTCTCAGCAAGTTATGGTCAGTGGCTCAATATATTAGGGATAATGTTGTGACTATTGCGATTCTTGAATAAGGAGCTTTTTTAAGTGATGTTTGACTAGGTTGTGGCATTTGTTATGTTGAAAATTAGGATTGTCTTTTACTTGGGTGGTTCAGTGGTTGCAACTGATATATTTGGAATATTCAACTGGGAGCATTTGTTAGAAAAAGTCCATGGTCTGTTGAACATCATACGATTTCAGAGCAGGTTTTTATGTAGATTTTGGGCTGATTTCAGGTTGAGTTTTGGCGATTTAGAGCAAGTTTGGGCTGATTTCCTGCAGTTGGGTTGTCTAACGTTTAGGTGGTTGTCGATTTATTGCATTTTCATGCTGCAACTCAACTTGAGAGCATGTTTTTTTGGAAGATTTGATGGCGCTACTGGACTCATTAAGATCAATTTATGTCGATTGGAGATGATTACTGGAGCTTGTTTGTGAATACAAAATTGTTTTTCTCTGTTTTTTAGCATCACTTAATCAAGAAGAAATAAAATCATGCCACTCACAATGTTCCTCTCGACTTCAGAACTCAGAGAGTAACCCAATTATGTATTTCTATACCAAGGCTATTTTTGCCCTGATCAATAGATGATTTTTTTTTTGCTGAACCGTACATAAAGTTTATTGTCCATGACTACATGTTCTAACACATACATTCAGAGTTAAAAGACTACCGTACATAAAGTTTATTGACCATTGAACAATCTAGATGAAGTATTTATATTCCTTGTAAGATCACAAACACCTTCACTTTTAGGTTTAGCTTGACAAATCGAAAAGTAGGACTTTATTATTCAGGCATAATCTGGAGATCCGGTTCCTACTTTATTATCACATTAAAAACATTTTTTTCTAAATGATCAACAATTAAGAGGAAAGAAATTAAAACAAAAGTAGTAATCCACCTCATAATAGTTTCAACAATTCAGAGAATCAATGTAAAATTTAAATTTTTGAAGTATAAAAGGATCACATTAAGATAAAAAATCTATCCTCACGTATAGAAAATATAGCTGAGCTACCTGTATGAAATTTAATAATGTATTTTGATTAAAATAAAATAACAAAGACATTAATAAAATCAATTACTCCCTCCCCGCCCCCTTTTTAGTACCTGATAAATTTTACTAAAAAAAGAGCTGTTTTTTATTTTTATGAAACTAAGTTGTGATGTAATTGAGTTTTTGGTACGATTTTGTATTCAAATATATCTCATTTTGATGAAACTGATTTTAGATAAACATCAAAACTGTAATAAGCTAGTAAATTGTTCCAACGAAATAACACTTTTAACTTTTTAAGAAGATTTCTCTAAATTGGAAGTCAGATTTAGAGGTTTTTGATCTTTTCTTCACCACATCATTTTTTTTATAGAAACGCCACAACATTTGATTGAACACTAGATATTTTACTGATTGTTTGATATTTAATTAAATATTTTCCTATCATAATGTGCTTCTTGGTGACTTTGTTTTATTAATCTTAAATTTTTCATTGCTGCTGGGTCGCTTCTGATCTAAGTAGTCTATGACAAAAAATATTTTGACTCTTTCATTTGTTTCTTGATTTCATTTCAACTGTTACTCTTCAAGCTGAGAAGTGTCAATCTAGAAATGAGAATGTCTAGAAAACTCCGTGGAAGTTTATAATCATTTCAATATAATTCCTTAATTCCTATAAATCTGTGTTCCAATGTTTTGAAAGTACCTTAAAAGTGTTCTTTTTTGGTTCAGTTTTACTAGTTACAAACTTGGGTTATTGATGTTTCAATCCATCACATGGTTCAACGTTTTGGCATCTTCTTCAACAAGTGGCTAGAAGTTCTGTACCATTGGTTGTGTTCAAACCCAAACTTTAATTTGAAGAAGTTACCAAATGGTTTTTAGGCTGGAAGGAAATCTGACCTCCAGAAGTTTTTGCGAATAAACATATACGGGACAGGATCAATGTTGCTCTGTATTATACACATATAAGGGATGAACCAGGCAGCTGAAGGTTTGGAAGTGATTCAAGTGATACAGCCAAGTTTAAGAGAGAATATAAGTTATCTCAGAGTGCTAAAACAAAGGCAGTTTGAGGATAAATGGTCTCCAATAGTCCAATGTCTCTTGAAGTCTTGAACAACTTTTGAAGTTAAAATGATGTGTTTACACATGTTATTTATATATATTACGCTTTTCTTTGTAGACTCATTTTTGAATTGATATCAGAATATCAAAAGCTTATCTTTATTTTCCAAACTTTTTTTGACATGCGGAACTTTTCATCCCCTTCTATATTTTTCAGATTTGAGGAGTCTCAATATAAAAATATGAATTAAATTTTTATTTCTTTGACTCATGAAAATGGATAATCTAAACTAAAAATGTGTAATTGCTCTTAGAACAAATTACTTGAATTTCTCTTGATTCTATAGTCACACCTCACAAAAGAAATATTACTGATAGATTTACATACCACTCAATGGTGAGTATTTCTAATAAAAGAAGGGTTAAGTTATTCATCTGATTGATCATTAAAAAACAAGTTATATATAAAATTTGAGCTTAAGTATTACAGATATCGCATAACATTGAAATCTCTAACCTAAATATGAGGTGGAGTTCATAACTCATTGTTTATCATTCACCAGGTGGGTTGGCCACTCAACTGTGGGTTAAGCCTTTACCCGAAAGAGCTTCCATGCATGTTGATCTCAAGTAAACTGGTAAAACGAGTCATTTAGGGGTACTTTATATACAAAGGGAAAATATCTAAATTTTTAGATTATGCAACGATAATATCTTGGTCAATAGTATACTTGATATAATTTGTGCAATAAGCAAGATGAAAGTGTGTGGGAGAAGTATCCTGAGTATCGCAATACTCCCAATCTCATTCTCCGCATCATTATCCTTATCCACAGTATCCTCGGGCAAAACCAGGCTTCATGCTAGAATTTCTCGTTCGAACTAAAAGTCCCGAAAAATTGGTTGATTACTTTCCGAAGAATAGCATTTGTTCCTTTTGTGGAGGAGGTCACCATTTATTTCTTTGCCCCATTCCTCCATATGACCATCCTTACTGGGCAACTGCTTACCCCACTTCGCCCTCCCCACAACTCACAAACACAATTTTTTTCAGTCATTCCTACATCCTTGCCGACTGCCGAGTAATGAGCCACATAATCAATTGTAGGAGACGAAACATATGTTGCCTAATATGAAGCAAACCCACCTCAGCCTGGAAGAAACGCTCAAGGAATATTTGGAAATGTCTGCGGCATACCAAAAGACCATGTAGAATCTAATCGACATGACGGGTCAGCTGGCGGAAGCCCTGATGGAAAAACTAATCATCATAATAACCAAGATCAAATAACATCACACAATTAATCATAATTGTAAATTTATGGAGACTTACTTGGAGAGTATCCAATGTTCATTTGAGAGATTTTGGAAGAAGATGATGTCATTGCTTCAAGAGAATGGATGTGTAATCCCTTGTAGGACAAATGATAGATGGAGTATATAACTTAGAGAGTTGTGATTTTTTTTATCTCTCCTAGCCTTGGTGTTCATACGTACGTTTTTGGTTTGGCAAGGGAGGAGTATTAATAAGGGAGAAATCCTAATAGTCACAACTCCTCAAATTTTGTCCTAAAGGGTGTTACCACAATGGTACCCCTTAAGTATTATTTCCATCAAATAATACACACATATATATAATACATAATTATATATATTATACTCCCTGTTAAAGCGTGTTATATATAATACATAATTATATATATTATACTCCTAAGGGAGAACAATGTTGCATGTTAAAGCGTGCGAGTATACGTTCCACGTATGCCTTTTGAGACAGTCCTAATGTCCTATTCGCTCGATCTCAGTGAATTTCGATGCCTATAACATAAGAGGCCTCTCCGAGATCTTTCATGTCAAAGTGTCGTGAAAGTAATCGTTTTGACTCATGCAACAAATCGACACTGTTACTTGCCAAGAGGATATCATCAACGTAAAGAACAAGTATCGCAAAATTGCTCCCACTCATTTTGAGGTAAATACACTGATCCACTTGATTTTTATAGAAGTCGTTCTTTTTCATGACTTCATCAAATTTTAGATACCACTGGCGTGATGCTTGTTTTAGCCCATATATTGACTTCTTAAGTTTACATACTAGATGTTCTTGACCCTTAATCGTAAAACCTTCCGGTTGAGTCATATACACATCTTCATGTAAATCACCATTAAGAAAAGTGGTTTTAACGTCCATTTGATGTAGCTCTAAGTCGAAATGAGCTACTAAGGCCATAACAATCCTTAGGGAATCTTTTCTTGAAACGGGAGAGAAAGTCTCCTTGTAATCAATTCCCTCCTTTTGGGTGTAGCCTTTGGCGACCAATCACGCTTTGAAGCGCTCGACGTTTCCATTTACGTCTAATTTTGTTTTGAAAACCCACTTACATCCTACTGGTTTTACACCCTTAGGCAATTCAACAAATCCCCATACATCATTCTTACTCATGGAATCAAGCTCGTCAATCATTGCTTCATTCCATTGAGTAGATTGGTCACTACAAATGGCCTCACTATAAGAAGTCGGGTCATCACATTTTCCTAGATCGGCCTCATTAAGATAGATTACATAATCATCAAAATTAGTGGGCCGTCTAGATCTTTGCGATCTTCTCAATGGTGGTTCGGGCTCTAGAAGCTCAGTGATAACTTCGGGGATTTGCTCAGCTTGAGGTATTCCATTATTTTCCTCAAAAACTGTCGTTTCTTCATTTTGTGGCACATAGGGAGCAACATTACCTTCGACAGATGAACTTGACAGGGTAGTATTGTCTACAAGAGGTACAAGAGGTAGAAAAGGTATAGAAAACATTCCCCCCTCCTCTTGCACTTCTTGTAATTCAACATCATCAATACACTTGCTCCCACTAATGGTTGAGTTTTCTAGGAACTCAGCATGTCGAGTCTCAACAATGCGAGTGGTGTGAGATGGGCAATAAAATCGATAACCCTTTGAGCGTTCAGGGTATCCTATGAAGGAGCAACTAACAGTTTTCATGTCAAGCTTCCTTTGTTGAGGATTATAGAGCTTAGCTTCAGCCGGGCAGCCCCATACTTTCATATACCTAAGGCTCGGTTTCCTTCCCGTCCAGATTTCATAAGGGGTTTTAGGAACAAATTTAGAAGGAACCCTATTGAGTATATGAACTGCCGTTTTTAAGGCCCCGGTCCATAAAAACTTAGGTAGGCTTGTATTGGCTAACATGCTTCGTACCATGTCCATAAGGGTCCTATTTCTTCTCTCAGCGACACCGTTTTGCTGAGGAGTACGCGGCATGGTAAATTGATTCAGGATCCCATGTTCCTTACAAAATTCATAGAAGGGTCCGGGAGCTTGACCTATATCAGTGTGTCTACCATAATACTCGCCTCCTCTATCTGATCTCACTATCTTTATCTTACGGTCGAGTTGATTCTCAACTTCGGCCTTAAAGGTTTTGAACGTGTCAAGTGCATCAGATTTTTCATTGATCAAGTACATGTACATATATCGCGAATAATCATCTATGAAAGTGATAAATGACTTATGTCCAGTTATCCTAGCGGGAAAAGGACCACTAATGTCAGTA